CCCCCCTCTACTTTTTGACTGACATGGCCGTCATCACTCAGGAATTAATGATGTCACGCTGAAGATGTATGAAAACTTTATCTCTTCCCACATCTCAAACAGAAAAACATCACGTAAAGCACCAAGACATGAATACACAGATTTCTGCTTTTGCAGTGTGTGTGTGTGTGTGTGTGTGTGTGTGTGTGTGTGTGTGTGTGTGTGTGTGTGTGTGTGTGTGTGTGTGTGTGTGTGTGTGTGTGTGTATGTGTGTGCGTGTGTGTGTGTGTGTGTGTGTGTTTTGAGGCATGATGTTTGGGCTCTGCCTTGCGTCAGGCTGCAGCTCTCGGTTTGGGTTACCTGTGGGTGTCACGATGATGAACGGGCTGCCGGAGCTTGATGAAGTGTTTATGACTGGGAGGCGTTGTTGCATGTAACTAATCAGACCTGAAGCTGGTAGGCAGAAAGCAGCGGTCCCTTCTGAAAGGTAACGCAAAGATGCTTAATGATGTTTGGGATGCAAACAGTCAGCGGATGTTGCTGCCTTTTGAAGGACTGCGTTTGCTTCCTGGCAGAGACCGGGGTCCATTTTTGTTCGATTTATTGTTGTAACCTAAGTAGGAGATGTCTAGGTAACCTCTGTGCTTCGTTTCAAGTGGACAGCATAATAAATTTGGCCGTAACAAATGGCTCGTTTCAAGCCGCCTGTTATTTTATCATCACATTCTGCACAGGCGTGATGGATAAGCTACGAGCTCCAGTTGTTTGTATGAGTGGATAGCATGCCAAAGCAAACACGTGCAGGGCTAAAATAAGTGAAAAATGCAGTGAGAGGCAGCAACATAATTCTGCAGCAGATCCCAGATCTGAGGGTTCACACTGAGGTGAGACAGGCAAAGATGTAAAGTAAATAAAAACACCCTAACCCTGAAAAGTCTTCAGCTAAAGAAAGTATGTGCAAGGGACGCATATTAGCTTGCACGTCATGAGGTGGTGAAAGCTCAGAGTTTCTCCCAAGACTCGTCTGGATCGAGGTGGACCAGAGCCAGGATCCTTCAGTCCTGCATCAGGGTGCATCTGCTCCAATGTTTCTGTAACGTTTGCTACGAAAGCTCCAAAGAAAGAAAGACCAGTTCACCTGAGCATCCTCTTGTATTCAGGGTGATATTTTAGTGCCCAAACATTCATTAGAATAAAAAATAAAAGACATTTTACAGAAATATTTTAAAAATGCAGCAACTTTTTTTCTCTGAACAGTAAATTAAAGAGTCTGCACCTCCCTGGTGACAGATACCTTTCAAAAAAATCATGTTTAGTGTTTAGTGTTTAGATTTCAGCCAATGCTTTAAGTAATGGATCATCATCTGTTTAAACTTGATGTACTTGATGAACTTTATTGTAGCTAATATTAAAAAAAATTAAAAATAAAAACACTTTAATTATCAAAGTTCCAAAAACTTTTCATTTATTTATTTTTCTGGTTTATTTTTTATTTTCTTACAAAACATCATCACAATTGTTGTTTATAAAGATTCTATGAAGTACAATCGAAATGGATTTTTAAAAATTTCATACAAATGTTTTCAAAAGTTTTTCAACAGACTAATACTGGGAGGTTAATTTAACCCTTTGATGCATAATGGTCACTACAGTGGACAGGTACTCAAAATTGTTATTTATTTATTTTTGCTATTAAGCACGGCTGCTGAAGACTTTATTGCATGTGAGCCCCTCCATTTCGACTTCAGTAAGTCAAGCCAACATATTTCATGTTCAGAATGCACGCTGTCCACTGAGGTGGACATGTAATAAACTATGTGTAAATTAAATGTTACAAAAAATATGTAAATATGAAATTTGTTTCATTCACACCTAAAGATGAATGAAAAAAATTGTTTAAAAAATCATGGTTGAAGGTTTCATAATTCATGCATCAATGGGTTAATAATTACTTTACTTACCGTATACAAGTTAGGTTTTTATCCATCCTTGTCATAATAATATTTATATTTTTGCTGCTTGACTGAGAAGTGAAAAATCGTTTGTTTTTTTTCAGCTGAGGACTTCTAGCTTTATGGATTTTTCATGAAACACTGAAAATGTTCATGAAATTAAGGATTTGGGATGAGTAATACGTATGATTTTTAAAATCCTCCCCTTGCAGATTTGTCATTTAAATCTATTCTTTATGTTGTTTTTGCTTTAATTTGTAATTAAATGACTTATTTTATTTACCTAGGCTTTGTTTGATTCATGATCACACACACACACACACACACACACACACACACACACACACACACACACACACACACACAAACACACACACACAAACACACACACACAACCCCCCCTTCTCTCTCTCTCTCTCTCTCTCTGTCTCTCTCTCTCTCTACATATATATATATATATATATATATATATATATATATATATATATATAGATAGATAGATAGATAGATAGATAGATAGATAGATAGATAGATAGATAGATAGATAGATAGATATAGATATATAGATATGTATATATATATATATATATATATATATATAGATAGATAGATAGATAGATAGATAGATAGATAGATAGATAGATAGATAGATAGATAGATAGATAGATAGATAGATAGATAGATAGATAGATAGATAGATATAGATATAGATATAGATATATAGATATGTATATATATATATATATATATATATATATATATATAGATAGATAGATAGATAGATAGATAGATAGATAGATAGATAGATAGATAGATATAGATATAGATATAGATATAGATATATAGATATGTATATATATAAATATATATATACGTGTGTGTGTGTGTGTGTGTGTGTGTATAGTCTGAATGCAGCTCTCGCCCCTCTCCTGATGACCTTTAACCCTGCAGGATAAACTGCTAACTGAGCTTCAGTCATGCTCAAGGAGGCTGATGTCCACATGATCCTGGTTTTGACCTTCAAGAGCTTCTGCTCAGAAACACTCGAGAGTTTGATTAGTTTAGCCTGGAATCGATTAGTGATTTTTAAAAAATTGTTTGATGTTTCAGATGACTTTTGTTCTGAATTAATGATAAATAAACTGAGCTGAATTAATATGAAGTCCCCAAAAACATTATTCATAACTAACTTTAAGTTTTGTTCCTTTTTTAATTTTATCTTCTTTTAGCTTCTGGTCGCCAATATAACACCCCAGAAAAAATGGTTATTTATTATCATAGATTTTATAGTTAGGCATTAAATTATTTTACTAAATAATCCATTTAAAATACAATTAAGAAGCGCAAAAACACTTGAACCCTGTTATAAGCCCATATGCGCCTTTTATCAGCCAAACTGCGACTTTATTTAATTAGATCTTTTGAGGCAGATGCTGGTCAGCGATAAACAAATCATATATGTCCAAAGCATTATGTAATAAAATAACGTTAATACAATAATAATCCACATATTAGATATTTTGCTATCCGTTTGGTACCACTTCTGCATTATTTACTTCTCCTGTCATCTAATGATTTAATGCGAAGCCTCTTCAACCGCCTAACGCACACTAAACATTTCTAAAATAAAACGCACTGAAACTTTTATTATCAAACCTGCAATTAAACACAAATAAAACCTAAATAATTACGATAAATGCATTAAGATGTGACATTCATAAACGCGTTGATCACCAAACAAACACAAAATAAAATTATTGAAATAAAACGTTTTATTACAGTTTTCTCTCTCTCGCATCTTCGCCCGTATAGAGCGCACAACTGATCTGCTTCTCTGCTGCATCCTGTGTGTGTGTGTGTGTGTGTGTGTGTGTGTGTGTGTGTGTGTGTGTGTGTGTGTGTGTGTGTGTGTGTGTGTGTGTGTGTGTGTGTGTGTGTGTGTGTGTGTGTGTGTGTGTGTGTGTGTGTGTGTGTGTCGTTGCGTGTTACATCATCACGTAATAGCTGGCTCTAAGCGTTGCACCAATTTAGCTATTCGCGCGCACGTTACTCGGCTGGGATGCAGCGGGCGCACACGTCCAGTCACGGAAGCATCCCGAGCCGCACAGAGAAAAGGCGACATGGAGTAAAGAGCTGATGAAAAATTTAGAGTTGGAGCTCTGGCACGTGCAATAGCAAACGCTGCAGCTGCGTTTAAACGTTTCATTTGGCGACTGCGCTTTTACGCAAAAATGTAAGAACGTATACATTAGTATTTCGTGTGCGTTTTGCCGCAGAAAATCGTCTATAAATTGTAAAGTATAACTGAGTCAAATTTTTAAATAAAGCTGAATACGTTCATTTAAGCATTCTGCTGATTTTTTCTAAAGGACGCGGCTTCAAACAGGAGCCCATAATAAAGTATCAGAATGTTTTTTTTTCAGCAGCAGCTTCCCCCTTCTTCCTCACCCGGTTCACACCCTCCTGCACCGCAATTACTAGGATGAGTGTGAGAGAGGTCATCCACACACGCAAACCCCGTGTGCGCATGTTCCAAACTGGCACGCGAGCGTGCAGCATCTGGACGCACACAGACCACAATTACAAAAATGTAACTAACTCATTTCCAAACAAATTCTCTTTTGTTTTTCTTTTTTTGCAAATTTATTCTTGTTGCAAAATAAACTGTGTAGAAATATCACAATTCAGTTAAACATTATTACCAAAAAAATGTACAATGTTTTATTATTTCAAATCAACACACACTGCATATATACTTATAAATGTTAGGTATGTCATCGCGCTCTTACTTTTCACACAAAGTTCAAACGAAAACCTCGTTGTGACGTAGAAAACAGGGATGTGTTTGACACGAGTCCTTTTTTTTAATCATGTGATCATTTATGTCCGTTAAGTCCTGAGAGGCCCTAAACAGTGACTGAAACGTGATGGAAAATACAAGAAATGTCTCTGATTCACACTGAAAACAGAAAAGAAAAATTATATATATATATATATATATATATATATATATATATATATATATATATATATATATAGATATATATAGATATAGATATATAGATATATAGATATATATATATAAACAGCATGAATATAGGCACAGGTAGTGTTTTCATGTCCATCATTCAGCTGCTATCAAACAAGCATACAAAAATAATCCTACCTTCAGTTCAGAGGGGCGTTTTTTGCTTGTTTTTGTTTTTGCTGCTGATTCTTTTTAACCGATCTAACGGGCGCTATGTGCCGCCCAGAATTCTGCTCGGAAAGTTTTCAACCGGGTGTAAAACGGCTTCGGGGCGCGCGCTTTGCGGCTGGCTTGGAAGTCCCAAAGAGGTCGGTAAGACCGGGACAACCGCCGGAGAAGTCCTGGAGGGGCTGAGAGAGCCTCCGATGATGCTTTCTATGGAGAAGGGGGACCGCTGCAGCGGAGAGGCGGACTTCTGCACCGGGGAGGCGGCCTGTGCGCTGACGGAGCCCAGGTTGGAGCCGAGCTGCGGGTAGAACCTGTTTCTGGGTAAGTCCGTGCTTGTGGGCATCAGAGGCGGTGATGGGATCATGGTTCCTGAATGCCTGGAGTGCTGCTGCTGCTGCTGCTGGAAGGCATAAAGCGCAGAGTGTGTGTGGTAGGACTGGATCTGGATGCCGTATCCAGCGCAGCCGTACGGCGCGTATCCGTACGCAGCAGCGGCGGCTGCGGATGGGAGGAAGGCGTTGTGCTCCCGCAGCAAGTCCTGCGTCTGCTGCCGCTTGAAGCGCTTCCTCCGCCGCAGAAAGCTCCCGTTATCAAACATATCAGCCGACTCGGGGTCCAAGGTCCAGTAGTTACCCTTCCCGGGGTTGCCCGGCTCCCGCGGGATCTTCACAAAGCAGTCATTGAGGGACAAGTTGTGTCTGATGGAGTTCTGCCAGGCGGGGAACTTCTCCCGGTAGTACGGGAAGCGGTTGCTGATGAAGTCGCAGATCTCGCTGAGAGTGAGCCTCTTCTTAGGGCTCTGCAGGATGGCCATGGTGATTAAGGCGATATAGGAGTAGGGAGGCTTCACCAGGGTGTTCTTGCCCGCCGGCTTGCTGTAGGAGGTGGAGGTGGAGCTGTCCAGGCACTGAGGAGGAGGATGAGGAGGAGAGCCGGTCAGGAGGATGCCGTCGTGCATCTGCTGGTCTCCATCCTCGCCCTCGCCGACCACGTCGATGTCGGTTTCTTCCGAAAGGATGGAGGAATCAGACATCCCTGAGCTCAGAGTCATGGCTCACCCGAGACCGTGCCCTCCGACGCCGGATGAGGAAGACGCACAATCTGCGTCAAAAACTCATAAATGAGGAAAGATCCGCTCGGGTTCTCAGTGTGTCCATATGTTTGAGTTTTCAGGGTTTTAGAAACCCCAGAAAGAGAACAGCGCGTGGGGGGAGACCTGCAAATAGGGTCAACCTGGATCTCACAGGGGGCGGGTCTTCTCTCTGGATTAATACCGCCGCCCTGATCACATGGCTCGGAGACGTCACACAGAGGAAAGACACAACAAAAAACATTTTTGAACACAACTGTTTCTTCTTTTTTTTCTTAAAAGAAAAGAAGAAAAAGTTTGGTGTGACCTCCATCCTTTCTGGTCTTTCACTGAATTACATCCCGCGTGAGTAATCTGAAGCTTTTACTACACCCAGTGGTTTACGAATAAACGTGTAATTTTGTAAAGAAAAAATACTTTACTCTATAATTCTGACACATTATCAGCATTTCTGCTTCTGATTTGCATAAATAAAAATCATAATATAAATAGTCCTAAATTATTTTGGAGATAATTGCCTTCATGTCAGGGAGTGGGTGCGCCACATCCGGGCAGTTTGGTTTGCGTGACCATGCGCGTCTCCAGATTATCCGCGAGCCATAATGGAAAAGAATCAGCTGTTAACTGGATTCAGTCACGGGTCACGCAGAAAGGCCTCTGCTGGAGCGGTGAGCTGCAGGACTGCTCAGTTTTACCGGCACACCTGATGTTTTATTAAATCTGTTTAGAGTTTGTTTTATCTAAATTACATTCATGGTGTTTGGAAAAAGATTATTTTCCTAACCCATGCCTGTTTAGGATTTCTTACAAATATTTAGAACTGATTAAGATCTTCAGTCAAAGTTATCAGGGGGAAAAAATCTAAATATGGTGCGAATTAAAATTCGATATGGAGTTGTTCTGCTTTTTAAAGAGCAAGTCACCCCCAAATAAACTTTTTTTTCTGATAAACTAAATAAACGAGTGTCTAATCGTGCTGCAGACACGTGTCGTCAATAATTTGGCACTTCAGTGCATCTTAGTTCAAATTTAAATATTCTGCCTAAAACTGGCAGTGTTGTGCCGTTGTCAGGTAAAAACTCTGCGCTGTATTTGAATTTAAATCTGCCATCGCTATTGGCTAAGAGGTATGCTATGATGTAAACTGGTACATTATGATGTCACAATGCTGTCGTGAGCCTGTGTGTGTATTTGTTAGAAGCTCCTCCTTCTAACAAATACACACACACACACACACACACGACATTGTGACCTCATAATGTACCAGCTGACATCATGGTGTACTTCTTAGCTATAGCAATAGCAGATTAAATTTAAATGCAATGCAGAGTTTTTTCCTGACAACTGTGCAACAATGACAGTTTTAGGCAGAATATTTAAATTTTAACTAAGATGCACTAAAGTGCCAAATTATTGACTGCATGTGTGTCTACAACATGGTTAGACGCTCATTGATATAGTTTTATCAGCAAAAAAGAAGTGGATTTGGGGGTGACTTGCTCTTTAAGGATTATCTTTTAAGTCTATTTCAGACAGTTATTGGCCAAAGGCTAATAACAGGAATAAATAACAACCGCTTTTGCACTGAAATAAACACATCTATTTAAAAAAATATTACAAACGCTTCTGCTGAGTTTCTTTGTGCCTTTTAAGTGGACAGTAGAACCCTGAATAAGTGGCTCAGAGGTCTCCTCCTCCACACCGCCATCTAGTGGTGAAAATGTTTATCGTTAAACACGAATAAATCAAATAAATCCGATTTTATACAATAAAAATAAAGTACGAAAATGTTTTGAACAAGTTTTAAAATATAGTCACAATAAAATGATTAATGATGATTTTTTTATGAATTGTCTTCAATCTATTGGATCAAGGTGAGATTAGTGGACTCTGTCTTCTTTTATTAGAACACACATTTTTATTCAAGAATTAGGTGTTTAAATAAACCACCACTGCACATCTACTTTTATTGGCTTATTGTATTTTAAATAAATGTTCAAATACTGTGCACCATAATGACCTGTGCTGAGTTTTCAGTGTTGTCAACCCATAACTAAATGGATCAAGTTTGGCTATTTTCTAACCTCCTGGTCAGATTTCTCTAACCATGTCTGATGAGATCTGTGCGGAAAACACATGAGGATACAGTTCCTATCCTGTGGTTGTGTAAACATCAGATCACTGGGAGAGGGGGCGTGGCCTAACAGATAACAGACAGAACATCTCATTTCTTTAAATCTAAACAGACACCTTTCAGAGCCTGCAGGTGCACAAACAGGAGTGTGTGGAAGTGGAACCAGCGTCGTTCTGGTTCACTGGAATTTATTATAATTATGCCCCAAAGGAGACTGAGATGAGATCGTCTCTCCTCTGGACATGTCCAAACATGACCCCGTTAGGCTTCTCTCTCTGTCCCTCTGAGGGACTCATTCCTTGTCCCGTCCATCATTTCTTAAAGAGAATCTGAACATCTTGAGCACTACAACCTCCAGTTCTGCAGTATAAGGTACACCTGTGCACTACTCATGATGTCAGATCAGCATCTTGATGTGGCACACCTGTGAGGTGGGATGGATTATCTCAGCAAATCAGAAGTGCTCACTATCACACATTTAGACTGATTTGTGAACAATGTTTGAGAGAAATGGTAATATTGTGTATCTGGAATGAATTTTAGATCTTTAAGTCCATCTCATGAAAAAATGGAGCAGAAACAAAGGTGTTGCGTTAATATTTTTGTTGAGTGTATACAGTATGTATATATATCCATCCATCCATTTTCTGAACCTGCTTTGTCCACGCAGGGTTGCGGGGGGGCTGGTGCCTGTCTCCAGCGGTCAACGGGCAATCAGGCGGGGTACACCCTCGACAGAGAGCCAGTCCATCGCAGGGCAACACAGAGACACAAAGGACAAATAATCATGCACACACACACACTCACACCTAAGGATAAATTTGGACAGACCAATTAACCTAACAGTCATGTTTTTGGACTGTGGGAGGAAGCTGGAGTACCCGGAGAGAACCCACGCATGCACAGGGAGAACATGCAAACTCCATGCAGAAAGATCCCAGGCCAGGAATCGAACCCAGGACCTTCTTGCTGCAAGGCAACAGCTCTAACCACTGTGCAGCCTTATATATATATATATATATATATATATATATATATATATATATATATATATATATATATATATATATATATATATATATAAATAATTATCATTATTGCTTATCAATAATAATAATTATATATATATATATATAATTATCATTATTGCTTATCAATAATAATAATAACATATACAGCTCAGGAGGTAGAGTAGAACCCTCTCCCACCAGAGAATGCTGCTGTTGTGTCCTTGGGCAAGGCACTGCCTTGCCTGCAGGTGGTGTTTGGAGGGAGCGGTGGCGGCAGTGTTCGGCAGCCTCGTCTCTGCCAGTGTGCCCCAGGGCAGCTGTGGCCACTGGTCAAGAGGCAGCAGATGTTACAGTTACAACATTTTTCAGTTACACAGACATGTTATGTACAAAATTACAGAAGGGAATCCGTCTCAAGGGCTCTCAGGCTGGTTTTAAATGTATTCAAGGATATAAACTCGGTTAATTTCCAGTTTTCCTGCAGCCTGTTCCATGCAGAAGGAGCAGAGTAAACGAAAGGCATTTTGCCCAGTTCGGTACAAGCAAATGGAACGCAAAGTGGGATTAAGTTACAGAGGTGGGTAGCAATTCAAGCATGGTCTTATAAATGAAAGTGTACCAATGTCCCAACCTCCTCGGGGACAAAGAAGGCCATCCTACTCAAGAATACAATTCACAATGATGAGTCAGTGGTCTGCAGTTAGTAATAAACCTCAGCAAGGCATGACAAACCACAAGAAGCTTACCTAGACACTGTGCTGAGACATCAAAAGGTCTCCATAATCCAGAAAAGACAAGTATTGCAGTAACTAGTTGTTTATTGTTTGTTTTTTTGCCTCAAAAGAAAAACAGTTTGTCAATAAAAGAAACATAGGCTGAGTTTGAGTTCCTTCACAAAATTACATGGTGCTTAAAGGAGAGGGAGTCATTGAGTCAGACACCAAGGTATTTGTATGTGTGAACCACCTCTTTATTTCCCTCATGAGTGGTCGCTGAGGGCATACTTAGAGGTCTTTTTTAGAGTTTGAAAACAACATTAGCTTAGTCTTGTCAGCACTGCAGACCAATTTTAACTACAGAAATGTTTGATGGACATCTTGTGTGAACGAGTGAATGACTGATTTAGTTGTGAAGCACCTTGGGGGTTCTCTCTCTCTCTCACACACACACACACACACACACACACACACACACACACACACACACACACACACACTTGAAATTGGCATTACTTCCTTCCTTGAGCGACTTAACATGAGTGAAAGGGAACCAAAGTTTAAACATTTATTAAAGATCCCCAGAATTATATCATCATCATCATCATCATCATTTTAAATGATTAATATGGAGTCGGATATGTCACAATGCATACATGAATGAATTATGATCAAAACTTTTGCACAGCAACGTGAACCCAAAATGAACAGGCAATGTTAATTAAAACGTCCCAGAGTGCTGAGGGAAGCGACCTGCGACACTAAAATAAGGGCAGAAAAAAGAAACCATTCACTCCACAGGCACCTCTGTCCTGACGTCACGTCCTGCTTCCTCTCTCGCTTCCATCTTGCTCCCGCATGTGTCTGCTGTTAGTTTACAGGTCAGTGTGGAGCTTTAAATACCTTGTTCTCTGCTCTGTTATCCCCCGGTCCGACGTCAGAAGGTAAACGGAAGCCTTTACCGACTCGGCGGCTGAAACGGGCCGTGGTTTGATGCTAACGCTGCTGGTGGACCTGTGTGGCGGTGTGACAGGCCGAGCGGCTCTCTCACTGTCTCCGTTAGCCTCGAAGCTAACCAAAGTTCTCGTGCGAAAGCTTAACCACACCTCGTTTTCGTTGGATGGAGCTCCGCTAGAGTCGCTCTAATGTTAGCTGGTTTTCTCGCTAGCGTGTTTTATTCAGCCTACAACAGATGAATGCCGTTTTTCAGGACGCGCACACTGCCAGATAACAATGAAAACATGGCAGGAAGTCAGTCGCGTTCATTAGCTCCTAACCGCTAACAGATGTTTGAAGTAGCTGCTGATGTTTTGGTTGAGCTTTGCTGCTTGTTTGTGTTTATCTGGGTCGCTCTTCACTTTGAAAACGATCTCGACTCCTCGTTACCACACCCACACATAACGTGCTGCTCTGCTGTGTGTGTGTGTCTGTCTGTCTGTCTGTCTGTCCTGGCTCTTATCTAACCCAGCTTTGAGGAATGTTGAATCTTCTGACACTTAAGGAAAGTTTTTTTCAAAGGAAGTAACATAAAGAAATTGTCATTAATGACTGATGGAGAGATTTGGTTAAAGCTTTCTTAATTATGTATGTGGTGGAATTTGAGTGTATTAGGACAAAGTATTATTATTAATAATAATTATAGACTTCTGAAGTCTGATTATTCCATCTTTAGTGGCATCACACGTTGTCTTTTTCCAGGTACATGGAACCTTTACCCATAATACAAATTTATGTAACATAATATGTTCAGCATTAGTTTTAATTATCATTTTGTGTTCTTTGTTTGTAATAAACTTTTGGATAAAATTATTGAGAAAATTTGTGCAATTTTTAAAATTTCTGATAGTTAAACTTTGCCTAAAATTTCTACAGGTGGTAAATTTTACCAGAGTTTAGAGAGACACTTGTCATGTGTTTATTTCCCCTTGTCTTGAAAGTTTGGACGCCCCTGCTAGAGTGGCACTGAGACCTTATGTTTCTTATTTCTTAATAATTAACAGAATGGTTCATATGAAAACTAATGCTAAACATATGATGTTACATAAATATTTATTAATGGGTAAAGGTTTGATATACCTGAAAATAGACAATGTGTGAAGTAGGGCTGCAACAAACGATTATTTGGATAATCGATTAATCGGATGGGGTCTCGACACGATTAATCGGATTACATGGGGAAATTTTTAAAAACTGCTAGGGAAACGTTATTTCTCTCCTTCCTTCACTTTATTTAACACAACATTATTAGAAAACAGTTCAATAGCAGAAAAACAACATGCCATCACCTAAATTGTCTTATAAGGTGTATAGACAGAGACCCTAAGCTACATCTATCTGTGACCTAAAATGCTTGGTCCAAGTTAAACAGCTTAAGGGCAATTCTCATCTGTTTTGTTTGATCTCATCTGTTGACATTTATTTTAAATGTAATTAAACATAGGCTGTGAATTTATCAAAATTGATCACTATTTCCAAAAATGACTGAAAAAATACCAAATAAAACAAAAGTAAATGAATGCCATCCTCCTTGCGATGATGCCCTGGGCAACTGCCATAAAGTCACATCAAGAAATGCTGCTGATCATTCCAATGATCCCAAATAGACTCACATTAGGCCACATGAAAGCAACTGAACCCAAAAATATATTAACCAGTATATAACTGCACTCTCACACAACATGCCTGCAGCAACAGTTAGGACTCCTCCCTCCCTTTTAAAAGCGTTTTTGCTTCTGAGGACATTGTGGTTGAAAAACCACATGCTAGTAGTCTGGCCCCGGTGTGATCAACCAGTTTCTGCGGGAATGTGACGGCGGAACCAGGGCCAGATTAACACTTTGTTGTACCCTGGGCAACAATATTCAAGGGCTCCATCATCACGACCCAAGGATCACCATAATGTGGTCACATACAGAATATTTTACTGTAATATGCAGTAAATATACTCAATACTTGAATGCCTGACAACACGTAACCTGCCCAGAGTAACCTTTGACCCACCTCGTGTGGACTGACCAATGAGGAGAGGGTCTTAACTTGAGGCCCTCTCTTCATTGGTCAGTCTGCATGAGACTGACTCTCAACTGACGTTCAGTCGTAGGCAGCGAAGCGTCTCTGTGCAGTGCAAAAGCCCGGGTGGACAGTTTGTTTAATGTAGGGTGATCATATTTCCATTTCCAAACAAGAGGACAGGGGATCTGTGCCTATGACGTCACACTATGGCAACGCCACACAAACCATGTTGGGACCCATTTTTTGTAAGAACTAAATTAATATCAGATTCTGCCAATTAAAGGGCTCTAAAACAATTCATATGTAAATATTTTGCATATTTAATGCAAAATCTAATTTTTCTGCTTTAGTGCTGCAACAAGGTTTTATTAATAATAAATTATTATACCTTTTGTTTTACTACAGCATCGGTAAGCTTCCTGTGCACAGATTATTAAGGATGCTTGTTTCAACTGTGAGATTAGACGATAGGATCAATGAAAAAATAAGTTGTCACAAACTCCATGGAAACTTTCAGAGAATCCACAAATAGTGGCTTTCAAATGGTTTTGTTACTTTTTGCAAGTTTATAAAATAAGCAGATGAGACAGCATGTCTGATAATTTAGTTTTTCATCTGATAATATTAGAACATGTCAGTAATGTCTGAGGGGCTTTTATAAACACCATATAACTAACACTACTGGAGAGGGCATGAATTACACAGAGGCTTCTGGGGAGCCCAGTTATTGGGGGGGGGGGGGGGGGGGGGGCATTTTGCCTTGGCCCCCAAAATGTCTTGAAACGGCCCTGGGTGTGTGACTGAGTTTTGAAGGTGATCTGAATTGTATCAGATGTATAAATATGACATGTGTATAACTTATTGTTTTTTACTGGTAAAAACGTGTAGTGGAGATAAATCTACCTACATTTTACTTTTCAACACTTTGTTTTGTTTTCTTGTTTTTATTGAACTATTTTCCTGTCCTGTCTGTCTCTCATCTTCCTGCATCTCCTCTTAATTCTCCAGAAAACCTGTTGCCTGGATTCCTACCTTTTCACCTCATCAGTTACTTTTGAGCAGGTCAAAGGGATCTCCTGACCGAAAAGCGCAGAGCGCATTTTCGATGCTGCGTGAGGTGACATCACCACAGCACAGGTGATGAGCTCCGCAGTAGCGCGCTTCAGGCACAAATAAGACAGAAAATAGAGAACATGTGCGGACATGAACGATCGTGTGCTAATTATAGTTTTTGGGTTGCGCCACTTTGAGAATGGACCGTGCGCTGGAAGCAGCTGCCTGGATCGCTGTGCAACAATGCGGAACCGGTTCGCAGCAGCTCAAGTCTGCCGGCTCTCCCTCGCGCTGATCTGCCTGTACCGGCTCTCCCTCACGCTGATCTGCGGCTCTCCCTCGCGCTGATCTGCGGCTCTCCCTCGCGCTGATCTGCGGCTCTCCCTCGCGCTGATCTGCGGCTCTCCCTCGCGCTGATCTGCCGGCTCTCCCTCGCGCTGATCTGCGGCTCTCCCTCACGCTGATCTGCGGCTCTCCCTCGCGCTGATCTGACTTGCTCTGGTCTGCGCGCAACGGCGGGCGGGAAGGGGGGGGGCGCTTTTGGAAGAGTTGTGCGACACAACGAATCGATGACGCAATTCGTTGCCAACGCTTTTAGTAATCGATTTTCATCGAATTTATCGATTCGTTGTTGCAGCCCTAGTGTGAAGCCAATAATATTTAGCATAATATACTCAAATTCCACATAATATACTCAAATTCCACATAATATACTCAAATTCCACAATACTCATGAGAAAGAATACTTAGTTTTTAAACAAAGCTCTCCATCAAACAATTGTCAGTTATTAAGAAATAATAAAGATATATACGGTCTCTCTTTAGCTCCTAAATCCAAAACAATCTGGTTAAAAATAATAAACTAACAAAAGCAACCTAAGAAGGTACTCTGCTGTAAATTAGACAAAGGCAGCAAAGTAAAATATTTATTGTCTTTTAGTCAAACCAATAAAATAGGTAAATAAGTATTTTTAATTGCTAACATCACATGTGTATTCTCAAAAGTTCTATGTAGCCACTGAAGTGTGGCAGTTTTTATTCCACCCTGCCATTGTGATTATTTCTCAGTGAGATTTTATCATCTTAAACTCTAGGAATATCACTATTATTATTATTATTTGAGGAGTTTACGTGACTTCATGGCTTTTTTGCTGCTGGTTCTGCATTATGCTGCAATTTTAAGTCTCAATTTGATTTACAAATCTTTGTCTTTCATTTAAATTGCAAATCTTTATGAAAACTGAAGTTTTTTCTTCTTTTTTTGCAGATGAAAGAAACAATTATGAATCAAGAAAAACTTGCTAAACTACAAGCGCAAGTTCGCATCGGTGGAAAGGTAATCAGTGATACAAATACAACTGATGGCACATTTAACATGTGGATCAACTCCCGTTAACCACTTGGTTAGAATTGTCGGAGCAGGCAAACAACTAAAACATGCATGATATCGGCCATCGAGGACCAGCGTTCCCAACACCTGCATTAAAGTTTTGAGTGCAAAATTTTGGCCAATTTGCACAATGTGAACCAAAAGGTGGTTTTAGCCGAGGCTACACTAGGGCCGGCCGATATAGAAAACAAGTATATCGATAAAGATTTTATCGATAATTATTGAAAAATATTTTAAAAATTGTAGTAAAAATATTTTATGTGCAGCCCTGGCCATTTTATTTTTGGTATTTTGCCTCTTCCTCTTCTTGCTGAGACATCTTGCTGCCTCATGCTCTGTTTTGGCTTGAGAAGGGGAGGTCCTGGTGACGTAGCGTGCCCGAGTCTGTGGTTTGGATTGGTTAGAAGTAGGTAGTGAGTCTACAGTTGTGGCCAAAAGTTTTGAGAATGACACAAATATGGGAAACTGGAAAAGTTGCTGCTGTTGCTGTCATTAATGGATCTGCTGAGATCAATTCAGTAATCCTATAGTTAACTCGGGTGAGAATGTTGACGAGCACAAGACTGGAGATCATTATGTCAGGCTGATTGGGTTAGAATGGCAGACTTGACATGTTAAAAGGAGGAGGGTGATGCTTGAAATCATTGTTCTTCCATTGTTAACCATGGTGTCCTGCAAAGAAACGTGTGCAGCCATCATTTTGTTGCATAAAAATGGCTTCACAGGCAAGGATATTGTGGCTACTAAGATTGCACCTAAATCAACAATTTATAGGATCTTCAAGAACTCAAAGAAAGGTTTAATTCTTGTTAAGAAGGCTTCAGGGCATCCAAGAAAGTCCAGCAAGCACCAGGATCGTCTCCCAATGAGGATTCAGCTGCAGGATCGGAGTGCCACCAGTGCAGAGCTTGCTCAGGAATGGTAGCAGGCAGATGTGAGCGCATCTGCATGCACAGTGGGGGGAAGACTTTTGGAGGATGGCCTGGTGTCAAGAAGGGGAGCAAAGAAGCCCCCCCCCCCCCCAAAAAAAAAAGCCATCAGGGACAGATTGATCTTCTGCAGAAAGTATGGCGATTGGACTGCTGAGAACTAGGGCAAAGCCATGTTCTCGGATGATACCCCTTTCCAATTGTTTGGGGCATCTGGCAAAAGGCTTGTCCGGAGAAGAAAAGGTGAGCGCTACCATCCGTCCTGTGTCATGCCAACAGTAAACCATCAAGAGACCATTCATGTGTGGGGTTGCTTCTCATCCAAGGGAGTGGGTTCACTCACAATTTTGCCCCTAAACAGTCTAATGAACAAAGAATAGTACCAAAACACCCTCCAACAGCAACTTCTTCCAACAATCCAACAACAGCTTGATGAAGAGTAATGCATTTTCCAGCCCGATGGAGCACCGTGCCATAAGGCAAAAGTGATAACTCTTGTGGCTCGGGGACAAAAACGTTGAAATTTTGGGTCTGTGGCCTGGAAACTCCCCAGATCTTAATCCCATTGAGAACTATTGGTCAATCCTCAAGAGGCAGGTGGACAAACAAAAACCCACTAATTCTGACAAACTCCAAGAGGTGTTTATGAAAGGATGGGTTGGTTGCTGTCAGTCAGGATTTGGCCCAGTCGAATTGCAGAGGTCCTGATAAAGAAGGGCCAACACTGCAAATACTGAATCTTTGTATACATGTCATGTAATTGTTGATAAAAGCCTTTGAATCGTGTGAAGTTCTTGTAATCATATTTCAGTACATCACAGAAACAACTGAAACCAAGATCTAAAAGCAGTTTAGCAGCAAACTTTGTGAAAACTAATGTTTGTCTCAATCTCAAAACTTTTGGCCACGACTTTAGTATGCTGCTACCTGATTAATCCAAGTTTTATCGACCCGTTTGTTTTTCTATCGCACCACATGTCTATCGATGGATATATATCGAACTATTATTGTCCAGCCCTATGCTACACTGTTGAAGATCTGCAGGTTTATGTGTGTGTGTTTAACTGTTTCACAGGGGAGCGCTCGCAGAAAGAAGAAGGTTGTGCACAGAACGGCGACTGCAGATGACAAAAAGCTTCAGTTTTCCTTAAAGAAACTTGGTGTAAACAACATCTCTGGTATTGAAGAGGTGGGCTCCGTAGACCCGTCCTGTTGGTGAATCTGTCTGGTATTTTCTCACTAACATCTGAAGAGCTGGTCCTGTTTCAGGTTAACATGTTCACAAATCAAGGAACAGTCATCCATTTCAACAATCCCAAAGTGCAGGCCTCCCTCGCTGCCAACACCTTCACCATCACCGGTCATGCTGAGACCAAGCAGCTGACGGAGATGCTGCCCGGCATCCTGAACCAGCTGGGAGCCGACAGCCTGACGAGCCTGAGGAGACTCGCCGAGGCTCTCCCTAAACAGGGTTTGTTACAGAAACGTTTAGTTTATTTTAGCCACTTTTCTGTTTTTGTCTTTCCCATTGGTGATACTTCATCTTTGCTCTTGCAGCTGCAGATGGAAAAGCGCAGATTGCTGCAGTGGAAGAGGAAGACGATGATGTTCCAGGTGATTTATTTTATGTTTAAAGGTGTCCTTCAGTTTGACATGAAACATCACATTTCCTAAAGCTAATCTAAACTGTCATCTTAACTAGAGATCACTGATGAGATTTATTTAATCGGTCCCGATACTAGAGAAAGTTCTTGAGTGGGTGTCGTGACAACGGGCCAGATGCTTAGGGGTGGATCGGTTCAGTCTAATAGGGATCCCTTTTGGGTCGTCTCATGGGTCCTTGGAAGAACGAAAAAATTTATGTGAGTAGAGCCCTCTTCAGACAGGCCATAAAAAACGGAGATGTTCCGGACTCTATCCATAAGACCTTTGTGTCTGAATACAGACATCTGGATAATGTGTTCCGGAATTTTACCGGACGAAGCCCCTAGTAACAGGTCCGGACTTGTTACGGACAGGGTGGCTGCTTCAGACTGGTGAGGTAGAGTTCCAGACAGGGGGGGGAGACCGGGGGACGCTGTGCGCACCTAGATAGCTCGCTGCTGTAGCATGTGGCGAACCACGGCAGCTCGCCTACTACGTTACCACCTAGACGCTCAACAGAGCGCTTCACACCGCTTCAGTGATTCCTTTAACCATTGAGCTTCATCATCCAGGTCTCTTATGCGTCTACGTGTGCGCAGAATTATGCTTAAGCGCCTCATGATTTTTATCTTGAGAGGCGCTATAGAAATGATATTTTCTTCTTCTTCTTCTAAACATGAGTCCGATTCTCTCTCCCCCCACCACCCCCCCGCCGCCGTCTGACATCTGGAACTTTTCCCTGCTGTGTGAACGCAGCCGAAAGGACAAGTTCCGGTACAAAAGTGGTGTGTTTGAAAACACAGTTCCGGTTAAAAACCGGATTGAATTGTCCACAAATGTTCCAGAATGTCAGTCTGAAAAGGGCTTTTAAGACTGCTCAATTAATCGAGTTTTAATCACAATTATGATCTGGTTTTGAACAACGGGCCGATTACTGCTCCCTCGTGGTTTGTTCCAAGTTGCAAATCGAGCGCACCCCCGAACAGCGTCGTCAACTTAACGATTTTGTCGCTATTTCTAACAACTTTTCAGATTCCCTTTGAATGTTTATCCTAAAAGCAGCGCTCCTCAGATTGCTGTGAAAGCAGGGAGGGGGTGGCACAAAGTGCTTGGGACGATTATTACATTAACAAATGGGATCTGTAGATATTGGTGGGGACGAGTCTGTAAACAAAGAGAAAAGACAAAGTGCTACAGAAAGCTGAGGAGTTGAGTGAAATCAGGACAGACGCCCAGATTTGGACACATTTGAACTACAATGACATTCAAAAGGCAGAGTGGAATATGCAAAGGGAAAATCCATCCAGCAGACTCTAAAAATTCAAAGTTAATGTTTTACTCGCAGATTTTGTTTGTCATTTAAAATGTGTTTTTGTTGCTCTCTGCTTCATGTTGTACAAAATAAGTTTCTCACGCTGATAAACAATAACAACATTTCGTGTTCCTACGCTCTCCTACTGCACCGCTGGACAGGACTGAATAATTATGCAGCAGGTTGTGGAAGTTCGCCACAACATAGATATTTATGTTTATTCATTTTATATTCTGTCTTTTCTCATTTATTTATTTTTTCCTCTGTGCCCTTTGCAATTTTATGAGTGAATAAATATATAAATAAAATCAGCATTAATTAAAAAATGCTCTTAAATAATTGAGATCTCAGTTTCAGGCAAAATAATTGTGATTATCATTTTTGCCATAATCGAGCAGCCCTAAATGCGAGTCAGTGGAGCTAAAAGCTTTGCTTTACGCCCTCAGTCACTCATATGTTGTACTTCAATGTAAATAAAAATGAATGATGTGTGTTTCGACCATGCCAGTCACGTACTTTGCGATTTATCAGCTTGTAAAAGTTAAATTAGCATGACTACAAATCAGATGTCGGTACGATGCATATATGACATCACCACACAATCTCCTCTGCCCTAGCGTAGCTGCTACTTACCACATAGCGAGATTTATGGTTTTTTATTTTCTCGCGAAGGAAGGATTCGAAGTTTGCTGAACTTCCAGCCATTTTTCCTGCTTTTCTCTTTGTCTGGTTCGATGACAGCACTTTGGTGATGCACATTTGTAGTCCTGGATGAACTTTCATACAAAACCTAAAATAACTGTTGCCCCCGTTTGAAAATAAGCGCTTTCATATGTGAAATCCTCACAAAATCGCATTACAAACGGGATTAGAAAATAGCGTTTTTAATCCAGTAGACTTGGATTCATTTTTTCCTTCTTCCAGCGACCCATGGTCCGGAAATAAATGGGTGTGACTTAAGCAGAGTTTATGCTTCTGTTTGTGGTACAGGGACACGCAACGCCATTGTCTGTCATTGCGAGGGCTCTTCAGCAGGCTCGCAAGGATTAACGCAAGCTTGTGATTGGTCAGGATGCCACTTGCTTTAACAGCACTCCCATTGCGAACTCAACAAAATAAAGAGCCGACGATCTAGTGGCAGACATGGAGTGGCTTGAAGAAAACGTTGCGGACAAACTCTAGAAGTGAACGTTTTACTCACGCGTGACAGGAGGATGAAGTTGCGTGGATGGTAAAGATGGGAAACCTGGGTTAAGAGGTGGCGAGCACATGAAGAGATGGAGGAGGATGAGGGACATATTTGTCCGTGTTAAAAAGTCTCTGACGTTCAAAGAACACAATAGAAATGCTTCTTAGACCGGGCACAGAAAAGCGCCACGCCCTCTGTTGTCCCAGCTGGGATTTGCTTTGCAACACTCCCCAGGTGACGGAGAAGTCAGAAGGAAAGCGTCTCCATCGATCTGTGTGCGTCTGTCCCTTGTGGAGCTGACACAGAAGCATAAACTTGGCTTTAGGCTCTATTCCATGCCGTGAGCTACGAGGAACGTCACGCACTAGTGATGCCGCACAGAGGCTCTCATCGATTTCCAGCCTTATTTGGTCATTTACTTAATTTCAGTTAAAACCCTAATCTATCAGTCACCGTTGATGATGATGCAACGTGGTTTGAATCTTGTGTTCACTGTTTATAAAAATGAGCTTTCAGTTTGCTTTCCTTTTTGTGGGAAAAAATGGACCAAACTCACAAGGTTATTGTTGGAAAAATGGCAGCTTTTCCTAGAACTCGTCTCCCTCCTGCTCGAGTCCTCGCTGACACAAACGATTAAGTGTGTTGGCGGCGTAGGGGTCAGAAGCCATCACCATCATGTTATTAGAGTTAGGGTTCCTTTTGTTCTCCCGCTGGAGGGAACATGCTGACTCAGATCTTTTGGAGTTGTTTCCACTTGAACTCCGACCCTCTGAGACGGGGTTTGGACAGGCAGATTTCTCACGTCAAAAAGTAGTCAAAGCCAACTTTTTGATGCAGTGATTTTCACAGCTGGTCTCGGTAATTGTGTGGGCCTTCGATGTCGATCCGTATGGGAGTGAGAGAGATGAGCAGAGTATCACATTTCAGATAAACACACTTGCTGAATCGTGCTCTGGCACCTCGGAGACCGTTTCACACACATGGATACGACTTTTCTTTCCCTCTCAATCAGCCTTACAACCCGGCCTTTTTGTCATTTCAGACCTGGTGGAGAATTTCGACGAAGCATCCAAGGATGAGGCCAACTAGAGGAAACGGAGATGTGAGGGCGTGACTGGACTGTGTGGGGCACAAAATGTTTTCCATTTGAAGAAGTGGAGAGTTTAGTTGAAACACCTGAGAAAATAAATAATACGACTTTTGGCGTCGAGCATCCCGTAATACATGAAACACCTGATGAAATTGTCTGCTTTTGGGGAGTCATCTTGTAGAATAGTACCCTGTTGATGAAATCTGAGGTTGCTGTATTTAAAGGTAAGGAGCAGCAAATGCTTGTTTTGCGCTGTGGTCTTCGTGTCCTGTTAAAGTGAGAGATTGTACGTAAAATGTGATGTTCAGCTGTACATCTGTTTCTTCTGTTACTGAATCTCAACTCCATGGCCTCCCTAAAACCACTGTGTCTGGAATAAACCTTTGCTACTGTCAAAAACAGTCCAAAGTACGTTCTTTTTCGGAAATTTTGTTTCCATTGAAGCTCCCATTTTTGAAGCTCGAAGGCTTCAATGTCTTAGCCTGATGGTTAACCTGTTTTTATCTTCATATTAAGTTCCTTGGTCTTTTTCTTGAAGCCTGAAACTTGTGACACATAAACTGATCACAGCAAATTCTAGTTGGAGATGGTCAAAGTAAACTTTATTGTCATCTGTATTATATCCAATACAGAGACGAAGTGACAAGGCTCTAGTTTCCTCAGTTTAAAATCGAAGCTAATAAATATAAAATAATGAGCTAATAAATTAAAAAAGGTTCAGATTTGAAAAGATTGAAAGGGATTTAATAACTGGAATAAAATTGACCATACAAAAATTGTCAGTAGCCCAAGTTGTTCATAAAGCAGCATGTCTTACGGGGCGGTGAAAGTGCAAAGAGATGGTTAACAGTTTTCATGGGAGTGTATACGGGGAAGAGGGATAACTGTTCATGAACTTAAGAGTCGGACTTGTGGGAAAAAACTTCCACAATCTGAAGGATCGAGCCCCAATACTGTGATAGCGTCTGCCGGATGGAAGGAGAGAAGAGTCCATGTGAGGGGTCACACGATGCCGGAGGCCTTACTGATGTAACGGTTGTGGAAGATGTAACGTGGGGAGATGTGTTCCATTGATCTTGGCAGCTGTTTTAACAATCTTGTAGTTTGCTGAGATCACCAAAGTGGCAGTTGCTGAACCACGTGAGAATACAGCTGGTCATGATGCTTTCTGTGGTGTCCCTGTAGAACGTAGTGAGGAAGGAGATTGTCCATCTCAAAAAGTGGAGTCGCTGCTGGGCTTTTTTGGTGATGGGGATGGTGTTCGTTTCGTGGACCAGGTGAGGTCATCTGAGCAGAGGCGGAGCTGGCCTAAATGGCGCCCTGTGCGAGATCCCCCTGTGACGCGCCCCCCCCCCCCTCCCCCACACACACACACACGAAAAAACATTACACCTACAACTTTGTTTCAAATTGCGTGGAGTGTAAATATAACAACGTTTGCTAACTGAATACAACATCCAGCTCCTGGCCACCTTCTCACCACTTGTCAAAGTTCTACTGAAATAGACACACTTAACGCAACATGATGGCATCATCGACTTGTACAGTACAGATGTGCTGAAAGGCGAGAGTCTCAACTTTCAGCTAAAAAAAGACCGCTCTAGCTATTATAGTTTTTATTTTATGGCAGTTAACAGTTTAAACGGGATCATACTAGTAGGGCACCTCCAGCGGCCCGCTGCCGCTCCGTTTTTCATGGGGTAAATAATAGCTCATTTCCCGATTCCAAAAAGAAAGAATGGTCCTACCAGCTCGCCACTTCAATATGAAGAAGATCAATTCAACATGGGGAAAAAAAACCTGACCTGTAGGCCAGAGAAACGTTCATTGGCACATCAAGTTCTATTCAGTTTACCGGTAAACATATCACGAATGTACAACAGGTCAATTATTAATCATCTTGGCTACGTAGCTCAATCTATGCATTCCAGTAGCGTTTGCTACAAACAAATACAAAAACAACAATAAAGGAAAACAACTGTCTGACAGACAGCATAGCCGAATTCAAGGCAACACATAACAATAATCATTCGATTGCTCTTGGTTTCAAGTTAAGCCCATTAAAGTGCTTAAGTAAATAAAAGTGTTTCAAAAACAGCGTTTTTGAACCGGAGTTCTGCTCGCGGTGGGAACTCCACCGAACAAAGTCATTTTTTATAGCGAAAACGATCGACTGGTCACTGACAAGTAAAAGGGTATTATTGGTAGATGTTAAGAACACTTACCGCTGAGGTAAAATGAGAGTGTAAATGAATTGAGGGGAGAAAAACGCTTTGTTTTCCAACGCCGTTCTAAAGCAACAAGCTTACAGCCACGGCAGCCGGCAGGAGCAGCTTTCATGGTTGCCGCGACTGGAAGGAGCCAATCAGGAGAGGGACCTCACATCAGCTGACGTGGGTCATGTGACAGGGAGTAGTTGATATGGTTTACACTTTGTTGTGCTTTTATTAAAGAAATATTATTATTATCATCACTATTATTAATATGAACATGTGATTTCTATGTTTTGTTTATGTATTGGTTGATGCTAAAAATAAAAAAAAAATTTAGAAAAAAAAAAAAAAAAGGAAATTAAATGCCGCCCCCTGCAGACTGACGCCCTGTTCGGCCGCACATGTTGCACATATCAAGCTCCGCCACTGCATCTGAGATGTGAACTCTTAGGAACTTGATGCTTTTTACAGTCTCTATGGAACCACATGTGGCAAGGTGGAGAAACAAGGGCCCGGGCGGGATTCGATCCCCAGACTCCCGGGTGAGAGTCACGCGCGCTAACCAGTCAGCCAAAGGGACATCCCCTTGGCCAAGTAGCCAGGGTGCATGATCAATCAGGACACTGACAGGACGCTCACACTGTCACATCCTCCCCCCTCTTTCCACAAGCACGTCCTCGTGCTCCCGCGCAGGGTGCCACAAACTTCACATCCATGGACCTACTTGACAGTACTACATGGATTCTGCCACCAATGCCAAATGTGGCAAGGCGGAGAAACGAGGGCCTGGGCGGGATTCGATCCACAGACTCCCGGGTGAGAGTCGCGCACGCTAACCAGTCAGTCAACGTCCCCTTGGCCAAGTAGCCAGGGCGCATGATCAGTCGGGAAACTGTGACAAGACGCTCACACTGCCACACACACATGCTAAGTGGAATGTGGGTGGAGTGGATCTTCCTGAAATCAATGATCATCTCCTTGGTTTTGTCCATATTCAGTGATAGGTTGTTTTTTCTGCACCAGCTGCTGAACTTCATCTCTGCATGCTGACTCATCGTTGATGCTGATGAGTACAACCACGGTTGTGTCATCCACAAACTTGATGTGCTTAGAGCTGTGTAGGGCGGTGCAGTCATGTATCAGAAGAGTGAACAAAGGGGGCTGAGAACACACCCCTGAGGAGCTCGTGTGCTCAGCCTAATGGTGCTGGAGATGCTATTACCGATTCGGACGGACTGGGGCCTTTCGGACAGGAAATCTAGTCCCAGTTGCACAGAGAAGTTCTCAGTCCCAACTAGTTGAGTCTGTCAGACAGTTTTGAGGGGGTAATGGTGTTGAATGCTGAACTAAAGTCTACAAACAGCATTCTGACGTAAGCATTCATTTTATCCAGGTGGGAGAGGGAAAGGTGAAGTGTAGTGGAAATAGTATCCTCGGTCGACCTGTTTGGCCGGTATGCAAACTGCGGTGGATCTAGTGAGCAAGGGAGGTTGCTCTTCACATGTGTCATGAAAAGTCTCTCAAAGCACTTCATGATGATGGAGGACTGGGCGATAGGACGGAAGTCATTCAAGCAGGATACTGAGGACTTCTTTGGCACCGGGATGATGGTTGTTGACTTGAAGCATGCTTGAACGCTCATCTGGCTCAGTGATGAATTAAAAATGTCGGTGAAGACATCAGCCAGCTGATCAGCACAGCCTCTCAGCACATGACCTGAGATGCTGGTCCAGCAGCCTCCTGTGGGTTGATCTTGCATTTGCACGCTTTACATGTCGGATGGTGCGAGAGAGGTGGGCTCCGGCTATTCTGAGAGCCAGTTTATCTCTAGACTGGAAAGCAGCATCTCTCACAGATGTGCATGTACTGTTGCAGTGAAACAAGGGCTTCTCATTGGCTCTCATGGTGATGTTCCTGGAGACCGTTACATCCTCTGTGCACTTACTGATATAGCAGGTCACAGATTCGGTTTACTCGTCCAAGTTTAGGAGGCCATTTACGGTGGTTGCTTCTCTAAACATGTTCCAATCTGTACACTGGAAGCAGTCCTCAAGTGCCGAGACAGCGCCACTCGGCCAGGCTGTGATGGTTTTTCTACCAGGTCTTGTGCATTTCAGTAGTGATGTGTATGTTGGCAGCAGCATCACAGTGGCATGATCGGACGATACAGATACAGGTTAAACTTGGAAAAGTTAGAATATGCTGCAAAAGTCCATTTATGTCAGTAATTCATCTTAGACTGAGAGACTATCTAAAGGTTCTGGAACGCTTCGCAGGTGTTTAGGATTCATTAGCTGATTAGAGTGCGACACTTTGAATCTAGAATATTGAACATTTTCACAATATTCTGACTGATACTTTGAATTAAAGCTGTAAGCCATAATCATCACAATTGTAACAAATAAAGGCTTGAAATTTTAGGATTTGCATGTAATGAGTATCTTATATTCAGTTTCATCACTTTATGTTAAATTACTGACATAATTTAACTTTGGAACCATGTTCTAATTTTCCCAGTTTCGCCTGTAGAATCCAAATGGGTTCAAATCAAATCTGTATCTGCAGTTCGGAGCCGTTGGTGAATGCTGGAATCATCGCATCTCTACTTGAAATTTTAAATCCTAAATGAGTTTAGTTATTTGATTAAACAATAGCGTTTTTTATTCATCATGTAGCCCTGATTGGTAGAGTTTGTTAGCTGAGATAACAAATAAATCAATTTTTGCAGCGTATTGATAAACACATTAAACATTGTAAACAATTTTTTACTCATTTTGTTTAGTTGAAACCAAAAAGAGGATTATTAATTCACACAAATCCAGTTTTAGCTATTTTTATCTCTCGTCTCAGCTCACATTTGACCAGTAAATCCAGAGAAACTGACCCACAGATTTAAGGTGACTGCTGAAAGTGTGGTTTCTCTGGCGACAGTACAAACCTAAATCCTTGCAAGCAAGCATTATTTTTGTGTTCAATTAAGACCTTACCAACAGACAGCCATTAAGGTAAAAAATCCTTGGGAGTGCAACCTCCAGCAAAATAAACAGAACATCAGATTTCCTTCCATCACTTGCAATGAGTGAAGAGGTAAACGTGTAAAAGAACAATGTTTATTAATGCTGAATGTTTTGTAACCATTTGTTACAAATGAGTAAATGCAGTCTGTCCTTACGGGCTTCAGTAGAAGGAAACATGGCATCCAATATGGTGTCGCCCGGAGACCCACTTCCATGCATTTTAGACCCGATTTCTATGGTTATATGTTATGAAACCGCCAATATTTTTCAATAACTGGGCTATCTTTTAATTCATTTACTACGTTTCAATTTTGTATAGACTGAAAATTACACACTGAATTTTTGAATGTCTGTTTCTATAAAGTGCAGTTTACAATATGTTATATACACACACTTATGGTTCTGAGATTATTACAATCACTGTCACATGATGAATAATTACACATCACACAAACAGAAACAAGATGGAAAAAATATTGGTCGTTAATATCGGCCCAGTTTTATTTATCGGATCATTTCTGGAACTGTAAAACAATGACTAACGTCGTCAACCGATGCCAATACCGATTTATTGTGCATCTCTAATTTTTGTTGATGTTTGACTAAGCCACACCGTTCTTTTTTCTCACCACTAATCAAAAACAGATAAATGACACAGAAGCCATATTTCATCACCTAATTTAATGACAGATTTAACGCACAAATAACTGCTTACGACACATCAGAAAACACCACAATCCTCTTCTGGGGTATTTCAGTGCAGTGTGCGGTCTTTTAAAATTCACAACTCACATAAACATCACAACAAGGCAAACAAACAAATGTTAAAATACTCTAATAAATAAATAAATCCAGAACAGTCAACACAAAAGTCAGTAAATAAACAACAAATAGCTTCATATAACCACGCCTGTACCTCAGAGATGTGCTTGCCATGGCAACCAGAAAAAAAACAAGAGACCATGATGGTGTTACGTCAGTTTCCTTATTTACCATTAATAAATATGCTTAATATGTTGTTATAAACACCCTTAGAAAAGAGGTATTAAATTATGAATAGTTAAAAATAACCGACACAACTGGGCTTGTGTGTGTGTGTGTGTGTGTGTGTGTGTGTGTGTTTCAACTTGAGCCTCAGTGTATCTGGGATTACAAACTCCATGATCTGTTTACAGTAAAGTGCAGAGTATGACACCTCCAACTGAAACTTCACACAGAATAAAACCTTATTGTGCATCAGACACAATCACTGCTGAAATCTCCATTAGTAACAAAACCAATATCTCACCAAACTGTTGAAACACTACATTGAGAGGAAAAAAAAGGGAAAAGTTTCAGTTGGAATCACGCTGAATGTGAAGTTTTATACCCGTTTGGATCAAATGAATACTTGCAAGTTTTCTTGCAACAATTTAGTCTCGAATTGTCAAAATTATATGTCAGTCTGTTTGCAGTTTAACACAATTTGGTCACAGTCTGCTGCCAAAGTCGTGAAACTTTCGGACTCAAATGAAACAGACGAGATACGAGCACAGGAAACAACTCCACACCCATTTTCGTAAGTTGTGACATGAGAGCGAAGCCCTGTGAGGAAATCGAGAACTCTCTGGGTATTTGTGAGACATTGTAGAAACAACTTCTTCTTATTTGTCACCATCAGTCAGTCACAGCTCAGTGAGATACTGGGTTCATGATTGTCCAGCACCCAGAGACATCTCTCCAGGATCAATTCTCCTCCAAAACCACAGCTCACTCTCTGATGGCCATCAGTAGCTTCAGCAGGTGTGCTTCCATCACCTGTTGAACTGAACACACCCACATATGGGTCAGGATGGCACCACAGTCAAAACAAGCAGGTGAACAGTGAAAACAAACTCATCTTGTAATAATAATAATAATAATAATAATAGTAATCATCATCATCAAACTTATATAGCGCTTGTTTGGGACACTCAAAGATGCTTTCATGCACTCTCACATTCACACACTGCTAGTGATGGTAAGCTACTTTTGGGCCATTCCCATCTGTACCGGGTCGGCCCGGGCCGGGTAGCCCCAGTCGGCCCCAGCCTGGCCCGGTTGATTCCACACATCCTTGTCTTAAGCCCATGTGGGCCGATTCTACCCACCAATCAGAGGCTTGCTCTAATGGAAGGTGTGAATTTGCTGTCAGCAGTGGGTGTGTTGGCCCTGGTCGGCCTGAAGCAGACCCCCTCGAGAAGAGGGCTGAGAATGAGCCTTGGTTGGCCCGGAAAAATACCAGGCCACCCAGATATGTAAACAACCTACGCTACCCGGCCCGGGCCGACCTGATACAGATGGGAATGGCCCATTTGTAGCGGCAGCCGCCCTGGGGAGGTCTGACAGAGGCGAGGCTGCCATTTGGCGCCGTCAGCCCCTCTGATCACCACCAACACAGGCAAGTTGGGTGAAGTGTCTTGCCCAAGGACACAACAGCAGAATACCCCTGGCGGGAGCTGGAATCGACCCCATGACCCTCCTATCATGAGGTAACCCGCTCCACCACCTGAGCTACTGCTGCCCCAAATGCAAAGCGACTGCATCTGGCATTGCTGGCTGGGTACAAGCAGGGAGCAGCACTCGGACCTGATGTACCTTAGGTACATAAACACAAAGGGGCTGAAAGCGATTTCAAGTATGAAGGAATGAGTGCGTTGACTTTTCATGCTAAAGGACATTGTGAATGTATGAAGGTGGACATTTTAGTAGGGGTTTGCTTGGAGAAGCAAAGCAACCGGTACATGTTTTGGTCGAGACTGAGCGACAAAGTCTGCAAGATTTTTAACCATTTATAGATTTATTTTATTGGCCACTGCTTTACAAATACCGTGATTATTTATTTGTTTACTCAGACACTTGAGATTAACCATCTCATTTACAAGTGTGTGTAGAAAGTATCAATGAAATAAAATACAGAGATGATTTTTGAAGCGTAAAATCAATGGGCTAGAGCAAATAAATAAATAAAAACTTAAAAGGGAACTAAACTCTAAACCATAATTGTCATTGTTGTTGAATAAAGACAGCTTGGGTGGTCAAAAGTACCATGCCAAAGGTCAAAGCCGTGTGTGACCTACTTTTTATGTAAATTAGAAAGTAGAAAAACTTCTGAGCACTCTGTCCCAGTCCCGTCACAAAGTGGAGCCCTTCCTCCACAAACCTGCTCATCACCACCTTATAATAATGAGCTCCACCCTCTGCAGTATATAAACCACACGCACCGCTGGAGGGACGGAAAATGTTAGCTGTAGCTCCAGCTAACTAGGGTTGGGCATCGAGCATCGATTGGAACCGGTTCCAACTTCATTTTTCCTGGAATCGCTCAACGTTTTTGATTTCGATTCCTAGTTTCGATTCCTAGAATGCTGACGGTAGAGGAATCCACGGCCGATCTCTGTGAAAAATAAATGTAATCTGCCAATTGTGATCAACGCTATTCAGAGCTGATCACACCAGCTGTCTGTCTGCAGCACGAGTCCGCCCTCCCCCCACCCGGCGCGCAGTGGCCAGATATAAACAAACGTGTCTGCCGAACTTTTACGCCATAATGTAAACTTTAACTCCTGCAGCGTAGAGGATCTTGTTAAAATACGTCTACACGGTGGAATTAATAGAAGCTTTAAAGACCAAACTCTGGACGGTGTGAGGTGAGTTTGTCTCACTGCAGAAATAAAAACACACACGGAGCATCAGCAGTCAGACGCAGCCGCTCACCAACACTCGTGTGTGTGAGAGCGTCAGAAGGCTGAACAATAGCCTGTAGAATAATTAAAGTCATCATGTTAGAGAAGCTTCTCTGTGGTGGACCACACCAGCTTCTGCCACAATAAATACTTATAATAATAATAATAATAAATAACATATTTAATTTCCTTTCTGAACCATTTCTGTTGAGAGTTTTAATGTTTAAATCTGTTAGTTTGTTACTGACAGCAGCTACATTTAGGTTTCACTTCCTGTTCTGACTGAATGCTGCTGCAGCGTGGAGGTGTAGTTCTCAGTCATCCTGGACATGATCATCCTGAGAGTTTTAGCTGAAAACAGCTGGATGTTTCTGGATATGTTGGAGACATTTAGCCTCTCATCCCAGAGGCTTCTACCAGACTTTGTGGTCAGAAACAAACACACTGGTTGTGCTGCAAGTCTTTTTCTTTTGTTCTCCAAAACATGTTTTTGTCTAAATGAAGGTGATGTTGTTGTTCATAGAATCAAAATTCATGTTGAAGTTAAGATTATTTCATCAAGTAGGACCTGTGGTTAGCTAACTCATGTAAAACATGTCATGTCTTGAAAGAATCGGAATCGGGAATCGATAGGAACCGAAACTGAAACAAGGAATTGGAATCGGAATCATTCAAAATCAAACGATGACCAACCCTACAGCTAACGCTGTCCTGTTAGCTTATTTTCTGTTTTAGAAGAACAAGAAAAAGGGCTGAGAAATCCTGTTGTGTTCCAGGATGTACTAGTAATAGTAGGAATTTTCAAAAGTTTCCACAAGTTCCCAATATTGGAAGGGAATATTTTTTAACCAAGTACCAAAAGACTTCAATCCAAATATACAGGGAGTGCAGAATTATTAGGCAAGTTGTATTTTTGAGGAATAATTTTATTATTGAACAACAACCATGTTCTCAATGGACCCAAACAACTCATTAATATCCAAGCTGAATGTTTTTGGAAGTAGTTTTTAGTTTGTTTGTAGTTTTAGCTATTTTAGGGGGATATCTGTGTGTGCAGGTGACTATTACTGTGCATAATTATTAGGCAACTTAACAAAAAACAAATATATACCTATTTCTATTATTTATTTTTACCAGTGAAACCAATATAACATCTCCACATTCACAAATATACATTTCTGACATTCAAAAACAAATCAGCGACCAATATAGCCACCTTTCTTTGCAAGGACACTCAAAAGCCTGCCATCCATGGATTCTGTCAGTGTTTTGATCTGTTCACCATCAACATTGCGTGCAGCAGCAACCACAGCCTCCCAGACACTGTTCAGAGAGGTGTACTGTTTTCCCTCCTTGTAAATCTCACATTTGATGATGGACCACAGGTTCTCAATGGGATTCAGATCAGGTGAACAAGGAGGCCATGTCATTAGTTTTTCTTCTTTTACACCCTTTCTTGCCAGCCACGCTGTGGAGTACTTGGACGCGTGTGATGGAGCATTGTCCTGCATGAACATCATGTTTTTCTTGAAGGATGCAGACTTCTTCCTGTACCACTGCTTGAAGAAGGTGTCTTCCAGAAACTGGCAGTAGGACTGGGAGTTGAGCTCGACTCCATCCTCAACCCGAAAAGGCCCCACAAGCTCAGCTTTGATGATACCAGCCCAAACCAGTACTCCACCTCCACCTTGCTGGCGTCTGAGTCGGACCGGAGCTCTCTGCCCTTTACCAATCCAGCCACGGGCCCATCCATCTGGCCCATCAAGACTCACTCTCATCTCATCAGTCCATAAAACCTTAGAAAAATCAGTCTTGAGATATTTCTTGGCCCAGTCTTGACGTTTCAGCTTGTGTGTCTTGTTCAGTGGTGGTCGTCTTTCAGCCTTTCTTATCTTGGCCATGACTCTGAGTATTGCACACCTTGTGCTTTTGGGCACTCCAGTGATGTTGCAGCTCTGAAATATGGCCAAACTGGTGGCAAGTGGCATCTTGGCAGCTGCACGCTTGACTTTTCTCAGTTCATGGGCAGTTATTTTGCGCTTTGGTTTGTCCACACGCTTCTTGCGACCCTGTTGACTATTTTGAATGAAACTATTGATTGTTCGATGATCACGCTTCAGAAGCTTTGCAATTTTAAGACTTCTGCATCCCTCTGCAAGATATCTCACTATTTTTGACTTTTCTGAGCCTGTCAAGTCCTTCTTTTGACCCATTTTGCCAAAGGAAAGGACGTTGCCTAATAATTATGCACACCTGATATAGGGTGTTGATGTCATTAGACCACACCCCTTCTCATTACAGAGATGCACATCACCTAATATGCTTAATTGGTAGTAGGCTTTCGAGCCTATACAGCTTGGAGTAAGACAACATGCATGAAGAGGACGATGTGGACAAAATACTCATTTGCCTAATAATTCTGCACTCCCTGTAGTTGTTTGTGCCGGTCACCGTACAAGAGCATCTTTCTCCAACCTTGGACAATATGATGCAACTGCATCTGAATAGTGGGGCGTCTGGCTCTAAGGCCGTCTGGGGAAACCAACCAATCGGCAAGCAGCTCATTATCATAATCATACTGGGAGGAGTAAACAGGTCTTTTCAGATCAGCTCAAATAGAGAGGTTAGACCTGCATCAAGGCTCCTGGGACTAGTGTTGTCAAAAAAATCGATACCTAGATATAAATCGATACTAAAAGTGGTATCTAAATTAGATATTCCCTCCCTGTGGTATCGATATTATGGACTATTATACACAGCCTTCTTCAAGTACACCGACCCGCACGACAGCCAGATGCCGTAAAGCAGCCTCCGCCTCCCAGACAAACAGAAGAAGAAGACCCCACATGGCTATATTGCAATTTCCCACACGAGTTGTCTCCGATCCAAGTTTTGTCTGCCAAATAAATAAACAAAAACATAAACAGCGAATTTGGGAGGCGCTTCACAGCCCAACTTAATTAGCATACCAAGTCCGACACGTAGTTGTATATTCACGCTTATGCGCTTAAAGGAAAACTCCCGTTTATTGCAACCTGGACTTAATATCTAGCATGCAGTATGTTTGTTTACTCACGCTGACAACTTTGGTGCTACTTGGATTCCCCGGGGTATTTAGATCCATCGGCGAATCGCCGTCAGCGTATATCCATATAACGGGTGCGGACGGGCACCCATGGTGCAGCCTCGAAATAAGACATTATCTGCACCAAAACATCTTCATGTCGAAAGGTTTTGTTAGGAATCATTAACGTGATTCCCCTGTCCGTTGGGAGCGAGTCTGAGATTTCTAGGCGTAAACAGACTAGCCGCGGCTAATCTAACCGGCACTTTTAATGACGTCACTGCCGTGCGCCAATCTGTTTTTATTAAGATTACCGGTAGATGTACCTTTGTCCTACTGTGGAGAAATTTGTTTTCTCCCTTTATTGACCAACAGAGTTGTTCAAAAGTACAGAACAAAACATATGGCATTACAGCTTATGACAAAAATGCACCTTAAACAGAGTTTAAGTAGCAAAACATCACTCTGCAAATAGTGTATATATAGTGAGACAATTCATGATTTAAAGTGTTAACTTTCACCAGTTTTTGTATGCACGTTTAAAAAATGCTGATACTTGAAAGGTTTAAGCACTTTATACACTTAATTCTTAACATTTAATTTTTGCAATATAAATTGAGGAATGTTATTTTTTGAATAAATTAGTTCAATAAATTGGTGTTTTTAAATAGTATCGAAATCGAGTTTTTTTCCCCAGTATCGAATCGAGTTTGAAATTTTATTATCGTGACAACCCTACCTGGGACAAGATGAAAGCCTAAAGAAACTTTTTTTGCTTTTTAGAGGCTCAAAACATAGTTTTAGATTGCTGATGAACTGGATAATTTGTCACCTCTAACGGTACATTTGACAGATTTTATTGCTATCTAGTTAAATTTCCTTCCTCAGAGCATTCACTCTATATTTCAGTAATTGTTACGTACCATTTCGATGGCCCATAGCCACAGCCATATCCATGGCATTGAATCCAGAATCGGACTCTACTGTAGGATCAGCTCCACTCTCTGAGGTACATAAATAAAACATGTAACGTCAAAAGAAATGAGCCTTTAAGATGTATTACTACAAAGTTTTTCTTCTCTTCCCACCTAACAAAATCTCCACACAGCGTACGTGGTTTCCATGGACTGCGTACAACAGCGGAGCTCCTCCATTCTGAAACAGACCAAAGGCACGTAGTTTAGTGATAACCAATAGCAAACAACTGGACATCATGGCTGCACTGCATTACTAAAAGGTGCCATTTGTTAAAAATTCAGAAAAGTAAATTAATTCCCACCCAGTCGTATTCATTGACATCCACTCCACAGTCTATAAGCATCTTCACGATATCGGTGTATCCTTTACTGCAGGCCAGAGACAATGCGCTTTCCCTCCCTTTGGCCAGCAGGTTGGGATCGGCTCCCTGCACGTCAGAATAAACTTATTATTTCTTTTCAGACTTAATAAAAAGGTGATGCTTGTATTCGATCATACATTCTGAAGAAGAAACTCCACAACAGCA